GAGAGAGAGAGAGAGAGAGAGAGAGAGAGAGAGAGAGAGAGAGAGAGAGAGAGAGATGAGCGATACAAGTTTGGTTGTCACGTACCTGTGAAGCGTGGTGCAGTCCCGTGGAGAAGAAGAGTGCGGCCATACCCGCGGAGCTTGGACACGGAGGGGACGAAGGAAGATAGAGTAGAGAAGGAGGAAGGAGGAGACATCGAGGTGGAAGACAGACATAGCCGAGGGTGAAAAAAAAAAAAGAAAAAAAAAAAAAGAAGAAACAGCGAGAAGAAAGGAGGGTGACGAAGGGGAGAAAGGGAGTGAAGGTTGGTGAGAGAAAAGGAGCCGGCAGCCATAGCTGACCGGAGGGTTGACCAAGCGTTGAGCAGAGGGTTGACTGGGCGCTGACTGGAGGGTTGACCAGGGTGTTGACCGAGGGTTGTCAGCGTTGACTCAGCGTTGACCAAGGCATTGACCGGAGCTATTGACCAAGACTTTGACCAAGCTGGAGTTGGTAATATCTCGCCAAGCCCTTAGCCTATCCCCTCGCCCTATGGATGTGCACTCACCCTGCGGTACTTGCTGAGTCTGAGTCCGTCTGTCTCCTCTTCCTGCATTGAGTCTCTTCTGTCCTTAGTAGTAATACTCTGTGGATGAAGGATAGGGCCTGGATGACGAAACCCCTACCTGACCTTGTAGAGTTAATACCGTGTCTAATCTCACTGTCCCGGAGGCCTAACCCTCCCAAGGACCGGTGCTGACCGGCGGGGCTCGGACTGGGGGTGACACAGTGGGCTTGAACGACGGAGTTGTGGGCTGACACACCAGGCAGTCTTAAGTGTTGAGGGCCTTGTTGACCCAAACCCCTACCGGACCTAGTAAGGCTAAAGAATGTGTCTGATGACTCGACTGTCCCGGGGGACACGAACCCTCCCAAGGACCGGTACAGACCGACGGGCTGCTCGGTGTGGCAGGTTAGGCCCGAAAGGCTGAGTTGCGAGCTGTGCAACAGGCAGAAGCAAGCTGATCATGTCGTCCTGACTGCGATGTTAAATAATTCTTACGAAGTTACGGGGGATTTCCTTAAATGCCTCCTGATCAGCCACTGGTTCAATAGTGACAACCATAGTGTAGGTCTAGGCTAGCGACCATAGCTGACAGGGTTCTATACGAACCCTGTGGTCCTTAGAGAGTTTGTCGGTGAGTTTTGCGGGTTGGTCTACGTGGTGAGGAGTGGGACTGTTCTGTCGTGCACCTATCACCATGGATGATTACCCGATGTATGGGTTGCTCGTGGGGTTCTCCCTTTGGGGGACCCTTTGGCGTTTCCCACTGGGATTCTGGAACACATTTTCGTGTAGGGTAGAGACACGTACAGGGATGGGTACCACACCCTACACGGCCGAGCAGGAAGCCAAGGCTGCCGCCATCCTGAAAGAGAGGAGAGAAAAGAAGGAGGCCAAGAAGAAGGCCTTACTGGAGGCACAGACGGCGAAGTTGAAGAAGATAGAGGAGGAGATGGCTAGAGAGAAGGAGAGGCTGAAGAAAGAAGAAGAAGCGAAGTTAAAGGAAGTGGAAGAGGAAGAAGAAGAAGAAGAAGTAGAAGAGGAGCCACTGGAGAGAGGAAGAAGAGGAAACAGAGGGGAGTCCAGTGAGTCAAAGGAAGACTTGATGGAGAAGAAGATTTCAGAGTGGGTTGCAGGATTGACCCTGGGAGAGGATGAGGAGGCGTTAATGTATGTGCCCAGGGACGAGCAGGAGGCGGTCGTGCAAGAATGGGAAGCTGAAGAAGACCCACTCAAGCGGCAAGTGCTCAAAGATAAGAAGAGGATGGAGTGGAAGTTCCGCCTCACTAGGGAAAGGAAGAGAAGAATGGAGGCGACAACAGAGGCGGCACAAGAGTTGGAAGAGATTAGGAAGCAGAGGGATCAGATGGCGGTCCAAGTAGATCTACTGGGGAAGGTTGAGATCCTGGGCAAGAACGTGGAAGGCTTGGCAAAGGTCGAGGAGGAGCAACTTTTATTTGGTAGAGGACAAGACATTGTCGTGCGTTCGATATGATCAGGACTTAGGGACTTCGCTCGAGAGTTGGCAATGCAGGTGGGCTCGCATGTGACAGCCCGCCTCGAGGGCACTGAACGATACTGTGTTGGTGCCATTGAGGGCGCCAAGCTGACTTCCCCAAAGGAAGAAGAAGCACGCCCCTGTCGGGAGTCGGTCAAAGTTAAGTTTCCTGATTCCTACAGTGGAAAAAAGGAAGAGATCTTTGACAACTGGGAGGCCAACGTTAAAACGTACGTGCACCTGCAGAAGGTGTCTTTTGATGAGCAGGTCCTAATCGCCATCCATGCGTTAAAGGAAGAAGCCGCCAGTTTTGCACGCTCCTTAGTCCGCGCTGCTAATTGCAGCGACGATGTAGTTGCCTACTCAGCCTTCACCCCCCTCGCTAACTTTCTCAAGTTGCTGCGGGAGCGATTTGCAGATGTCTCGCGTAGTGTCAGAGCCTCTGATCGATTGCAGACTATCCACTCTCGTTAGTGGAGGAGTGTCAAGGCACTCAAGGGGTAATGGACGAGTTAGTGGCTGTTCCTGACCATGGGGTCACAGAGACCCAACTGGTCAACCACTTCTACCGGGCTATGCCCAAGTCGTTGCGTGGGCACTTCTTTGAGAAGAGTCAGCAACCCACCATAACCTACGACACATTGAGTAGGGAAGTGGCGGCGTTTGAAGCAAAGTTTGTGCCAGTCTCCACTTTCTGGCACAATGACTTGAACAAGGGAAAGAAGTGGAAAGGTCGCACCATCTCAGGGCAAGTGAAGACAAAGGATAGCCTAGTCCTTACTTTAGATGAGGGTAGTGTCGATGAGATCCCCTACGATCAGATAGAGTGGGGGCTCGAGGAAGATGGTAGTAACAGTAGTCAGGGGAGGACCTATGCTGCTGTCGCGGCTGGAGGGAGGCCGCAAGGAGGAGGACGAGGCCAAAGCCAAAGGGGTCGGGCCTCAGGGAACCGTTCCCAGGGCGATCAGGGGGTTGGCGGCGGAGGAGGAAACCGCCAAGCGGGAGGAAGGGGTCAAGGTCCCCCGCAAAACCGGTCTAGGAATAGGTCCCCTTATAGGAGAAGTGGATGACACCCAGGGCTGCCACAAGGCAGGCCTTGGGAAGATCTGGGCCTGGACCAGTGCTTATGGCAACAACGTGTGAACCAGGGGCAGTGCATCTATTCCGGTGACCCTGGCCACATCATTAAATAATGTCCGAAGTATAGAGAGGCTCGTTGGGCTGCACAAGAAGCAAAAGGCAGCCGCCGGTAGTGGTAGCAACTGCCTCTGCCATAGGGCCATGTGGAGATGAGATAGCAAGCCGACACGAATCTCCCAAACCACATGAGCCTATGGCAGAAGTTGCAGGCCGGTGCCTAGATAGCTGCCCAGAGACTGCGTGTGTTAGAGTCTCTCTAGGCACTTCCCTCACAGGCGTAGCAAAGGAATTGAAGGAAAGGATGCCCGCCTGGGCCAAGATGAGGAAAGAGAATAGAGGGCAACTTAAATTAGTAGATACAAAGATTTTTAGAGGCTGAGATGGCGCCTTAGTGGATAGTGGAGCCACTCGCAGTTATATTAGTAGGAAGGCGCTGTCGAAGCTGAAGTTGCAGTTGAAAGTCCAACGACTAGCAGACCCCATAGTAAGTATCCTCGCGGACAATCGCACCATGCGAGTAGAAGAGTATATAGAGGGAGTCCAGGCGTATTTCTGCCTAGAAAAGGATGGGAAGGTGGAGAAAGTTTTCCACTCCCTGACTCTCCTCGTAGAGGATAACCTCCCGTTTGACGTAGTCCTAGGTATGGACTGGGGAGAGGCAGCAGGGGCCACACTCCATTTGAGGGAGCACGAGTGTAGGCTCCCTAGTCCATCAGGTGGTGTCAAGACTGCCCGTCTGTTTCATGTGTCAGGAATAGACAACTCCCTGGCACACTGCTGCCTTAGCGCTCCTGCGTTCGCGAGGTTAGTGAAAAAAGAACAGCTAGAGGAACAAGTTTTTGTAGCCTTATGTTAGGCCAATTACTGAGCCTAAGGAAGAGAAGCCTATAGACCCTGCTATTGCCAAGCTGTTGGAAGAGTTCACAGATCTAGCGAAGCCGCCGGTAGGAGTAGTACCGCAGTCGATCCAGCATCGTATTGAGATTGAGCCTGGCAGTAGGACCCCCAAGGGAGCAGTGTATAAGATGTCCCCGCGGGAGTTGGAGGAGATGCGTAAGCAGTTAGATGAGCTCCTAGAGAAGGGTTGGATTAGGCCCAATTCGTCTTCATTTGGAGCACCTGTTCTGTTTGTCCCCAAGAAGGAGGGAAAGCTTAGATTGTGTATAGACTATAGGGGTCTGAACGCTATCACAGTTAAGAATGTTGAGCCACTGCCCAGGGTAGACGATCTTTTAGATCGAGTGCATGGGTGCAACTATTTTTCGAAGATAGATTTGAAGTCCGGATATCATCAGATCGAGGTTCATCCTGATCAGTACAAGACAGCGTTCCGGACTAGATACGGGCACTACGAGTTCATAGTGATGCCCTTTGGACTAACCAACGCACCAGCGATTTTCCAGTGATGTATGAATGATTTGTTTAGGTCGTGGTTAGATAGGTTTGTTGTAGTTTATTTGGATGATATCCTAGTGTTTAGTAAAACCCTCTAAAAGCATCAGGGTCATCTCAGGCAGGTCTTGGAGAAGCTGAGGGAAGCTAACTTCAAGATCAACGCAAAGAAGTGCGAATGGGCAAAGACCCAAGTTTTGTATTTGGGCCACGTCTTAGACGGAGACGGCATCAAGCCAGAGGATAGTAAGATTGCAGCGATCAGGGATTGGCCTACACCGCGTACGTTGACAAAGTTGTTGTCGTTTTTAGGCCTAGCGAACTACTATAGGAAGTTCGTAAGGAACTTCTCCACTATCGCTGCGCCCCTTCGCAGGTTGCTAAGGAAAGAAACCATCTAGAAGTGGGATAAGGACTGCACGTCTGCCATGAAGAAGTTATAACAGGCATTGATAGAGTATCGAGTCCTTAAGGTGGCCGATCCGTCCTTACCCTTTCTCATTACTACGGACGCCAGTCAATACGACATAGGTGTTGTTCTGCAGCAAGACGATGGCAATGGTTATAGGCCCGTAGAGTTCATGTCTGCTAGAATGCCTTCAGAGAAGGTTGCGACATCTACCTATGAGAGGAAACTCTACGCTCTCAAGCAAGCGCTAGAACACTGGAAGCACTACTTGCTTGGAAGACACTTCAAATTCTATTCCGATCACGAAACGTTGTGATGGTTAAAGATGCAGGCCAAGATGACACCTAAGCTTACTAGATGGGCCGCAAAAATAGACCAATAAAATTTTGAGCTCAAGCCAGTTAAGGGGAAATATAATGTAGTTGCGGACGCTCTGAGTAGGAGAGCAGACTACTTTGAAGCGATAGTTCACTATCTGGACATAGGGAGAGACCTGCAGGAAAGGGTTAAAGAAGCGTATGCGCAGGATCCTATCTATAGTGACCTCCTCAAGAGGATAAAGGAGGCCCCAGAGACCGAGCCAGATTACAGCACTACTGACGAACTGTTATTTGAGAAGACTAACATAGTTGACCGTCTGTGCATTCCCAATAGCGATGAGATCTGTAGTCTGATCTTAGGAGAATGTCACGACACAGAGGGTCATTTTGGTTGGCAAAAGACTCTTGGCAATCAAATGCACACGTACACTTGATCAGGAATGAAGAATGACTGCATAGAGTATGTTCGCTGCTGTAAAGTTTGTCAGCGGAATAAGACTACTACGGGTGCTCCACTAGGTCTTCTCAGACCCTTGCCTATTCCTGATCAGCCCGGGGATTCGGTGTCCATCGACTTCATGAACGCGGGCGTCAAGAGTAGGCATGGCAAGAGCCAAGTCATGGTGATAGTTGATAGATTTAGCAAGTATGCTGTTTTTATACCTTTGCCTTCAGAGGCATGGACCAAGTTAGTGATCCGTAAGTTTTTCGATCATTGGGTCAGTGAGCACGGGGTCCCATTGTCCATAGTTAGTGATAGAGACACCCAGTTCATGAGTCAGAACTGGCAGGAGTTGATGAGAGTCTATGTCTCTAAGTTGTTGATGTCATCTGGCCATCATCCCGAGACCAACGGTTAGACTGAACAGATGAATAAGGTCCTGCAGCAAGTTCTGAGGATGTACATTAGATCAGATCAGGTTGAGTGGGGTGAGATGCTCCCCAAGGTAGCCAGTGCTTACAACAATAGTGTGCATCTGTCTACGTGCCGCACTCCCAACGAGCTGCACAAGTCCTTTAGACCGCGCGGACCGTTTGAGGGACTTAACTGGGATTAGATTCATAGGCTACCGCCCGCCGCCCGGTACTCGGGAGTTCGCTATACAAAACGAAAAGGAGCTAGCTACTGTTACAGAGAACCTCAGGAAGGCCCAACATAGGATGATAGAGCAAGCCAACAAACATCGTCACCCGTCACAGTTCCAAGTAGGCGACTTAGTCTGGGTCAAAGCTAAAGAATTTGCTCCTGAAGAGAACATCTCGCAAAAGTTACAGCCTGCGTACAGAGGACTGTGGCCAGTTCTAGAGGTCAAGGGCGGAGAAGATGGTCCGTCCTACACCATCGAAATTCCAGTACACCTCCACACCTACCCAGTTTTCCATGAGTCAAAGTTGTTGCCATGCACCGTAAGTAACCAGTTTCCATCTAGACGATCCATGATCCCTCCAGACATGGATGGGAGGTACGACATTGACGACATTGTAGGTGAAGATATGTTTAGAACAGGAGGTAGAGGTCGTCCTCAAAAACAATATAAAGTCAGATTTGCATATCAGGAACCAGAAGACGACCAGTGGTTCACCAGAACTGAACTTCTAGAGACAGCTCCCGACATAGTCCGAGCCTACGAGCGGGAAAGGAAAGGTAAAGGTCCTGCCTTGGACTGAGGTCTCCTCGAAGGACCTCGAATTTAGGCCGGTGGGAGCGAAACGGTATTCACCAGTTTGCAGTAGCTGACGCAGATCCCAGGGCTCGATCCCTAGACCCCCACCTTACCTGTGTACAGTACCTGTGTTGACCCG